CAGAGAGACTGAAAACTTAAAAGAACGCTGGGCAAACTGGGTAATGGACAGTATACAATCAACTATCAAGGAGTCTTGATCATCTAGTTACACTTTATTCATTAAGGTGGTAAGCACAAACCCTGAGAATATGAGGCAGAGTCAATCTACAGTCAAGAAAATACAAAACAAATTAAAAACAAACAAACAAACAAAAACCTCATTCAATTAACCAAAAAACCAAACCAAACCGAAACACCACCCAAAACCCCAAACCCATCAAACCAACACAACTTGTACTAATGCAGTGTGGTTCAGTATTGGCGAGACAGCAGGAACAGAGAGCAGAAAGTAGAGGATGAAGTGAGAATGAAATTATATTCCACCTACTAACAGTGTAAAGAAATTTAATTAATGTTCTATTTTTTAGAATTATAAAGGTTGCCAAAAGCAGATCAGATGCTTAGGTGCTTAAATAATAGCTCATATCATAAAAATAAGGTCACTGTGGTACTTTGGCTGTTTTCTCAACTTACTAGGTGACCAACACTTTGCTTTCCTTTTATTTTTCCCTTCCTCCCAGTGGTATACTTTCATCAGTTTATATTTGTTGGACAAAAAATTAAATTCAACACATGATTACCAAACAGTGTGCTGAAACAAAGTAATCAGTTCTAACAAATAGACTAAATTTATGCCTTAAAGTCAGTTTACTAAATAATTTCTCAGTATCAACAAGTCTGTCAAAAAGGAGTCTGAAAAACTGACAATACCAGGACATCAGGGCTCACATACAATATATTTCTACATTAAGAACAAGTCTTCAATGTAGACAGCTAAGAAAGACTTAGAATCACAGAATATGCTGAGCCGTAAGAGATCCATCAGGATCATCAGGTCCAATTCCTGGCCCTGCACATGGCAGACCAAGAATCACACCATGAACCTGAAAGCATTGTCCAAATGCTTCTTGAACTCAAACATTCTTGGTGCTGTGATCACTTCCCTGGGGAGCCTACTCCAGTGCTCAACCACCCTTGAGTGAAAAACCTTTTCCTGATATCTAACCTAAAACGTCCCCTGACACAGCTTCATGCTGTTTCCTCGAGTCCTGTCAGTGGTCACCACAGAGAAGACATCAATGCCTGCCCTTTCTCTTCCCCTCATGAGGGAGTTGTAGACTGCAATGAGGTCTCCCCCTTAGTCTCCTCATCTCCAGGCTGAACAGACCAAGCAACTTCAGCCACTCCTCATACAGCTTCCCCTCAAGGCCCTTCACCACCTTCATTGCCCTCCTTTGGACTCTCTCTAATGGCTTCAGATCTTTCTGATATTGTAATGCCCCAACATTGCGGGTGAGGCTGTACCAGTGGAGAGCAGAGTGGGATAATCCCCTCCCTTGACCAGCTGGTAATGCTTTGCTTAGTGTCCCCCAGGATGTGGTTGACCCTCCTGGCTGCCAGGGCACTGCTGACTCATATTCCACTTGCCATTGACCAGGACCCCCAGGTCCCTTCCTGCAGCACTGCTCTCCAGCATCTCATTCCCCAGTCTGTATGTACATTCAGGGTTGCCCCATCACAGGTACAGAATCCTGCACTTTCCCTCATTGAGCTTCATATGCTTGGTGATACCCCAGTCCTCTAATTTGTCAAGGTCTCTTTGCAGAGGCCTTTCTATTCTTGAGGGAGTCGACAGCTCCTCCAATTTGGTGCTGTCAACAAACTTAATGTTCCTTCTAGTCCTGCATCCAAGTCATTCATGAAGATGTTGAAGAGCACAGGGCCTGAGATGGAGCCCTGTGGAACCCCACTGGTGACAGGTCACCAGTGTGATGTTACCTCATTCACTATTACCCTCTGTGCTTGACCCATGAGCCAATTGCTCACCCACCACATGATGTGTTTATCCAGCTGTGTGCTGGAAACTTTGTCCAGAAGGAACCTCTGAGAGACAGTATCGAAAGCTTTGCCAAAGCACAAGAAGATTATATCTACTGGCTTTCCTTGATCAGCTAGCTGAGTTACCTGTCACAGAGGGAAATCAGGTTCAACAAGTAGGACTTTCCTCTCATGAAGCCATGCTGGTTGTGACCAGTGACTGCACTGTCTTTTAGGTGTTTTTCAACACCTCACAGAATAATCTCTTCCAAGATTTTACCAGGCACTGAAGTGAGACTGACAGGCTTGTAGTTTCTGGGGTCCTGCTCCTTGAAAATCGGGACATTTGCCAGCTTCCAGTCAGCTGAGACCTCTCCAGGTTCCCGAGATCACCCAAAACTCATCAAGAGAGGGTTTACAATGACATCAGCTAGATCTTTGAGCATTCTGGGATGAATCCCATCAGCCCCATAGATTTGCAGGGATCCAGCTAAAGCAGCAGATGCCACACATTTTCAGGGTTGACTGGGAGTTGATCATTCTCACAGCCACGGTCCTCCAGCTCAGGGCACTGAGACCCCCTTGGTTCATCATCCATGTTGAAAACAGAAACAGAGGCAAAGAAAGTGTTAAATACCTCTGCCTCGTCTTTGTCCCTGTTTGTGAGGTGACCATCCTCATCCTGTAACAGGACAATGATATTTCTATACTGCCTATTGCCATTAATATATTTGAAAAAAAATATATTTGTTTTTATTGTCCCCCACATTTCTGGCACCTTCAGCTTCAGTTAAGCTTTGGCTCCACAAATTTTCTCCCTAGAACAGCAAGCAGCATCTCTGAATTCTTCCCACGTCACTTGACCTTGTTTCTGCTGGACGTATAGCTTCCTTTTCCATCTTATTTCCAAGAGAAGATCCCTATTCAGCCAAGGTGGCCTTCTGCCTTGTCTGCTTACTTTGCTTGCTCCTGTGCCCTTAGGAGGTGATATTTAAAAAGTGACCAGCACTGATGCACCCCAGTACCTGCAAAAACATTTTCCCAGGGGGCTTTACTTAGCTATCTGGAAATTATCTGGAAGGATTGAAATAAAAATGAGCATAACTTTTCCAATAATACAAATTCATTGGTGACAACAACATTGATCAGTGAAAGAATTACTGAAGGCAGTTTTGTTTTCTTGTACCTGTTTTGTTCTCTTGTAACAAGGAAATATCATAAAAATACCTAAATCTTATGTCACAGAATTAAGTATTAAGCAGCATGAGAACTTCATTTTGCATTTATGCATGCTATCTAGATTTATATATTAGTATGAACACTGAGACAAAGAAACTGACCAACAGTGTTTAGCTTAAAAGACAAGCCTGAGTATCAGAGCATGACTCCAATGGGTGATGAAGAACTAAATAAAAGAGGACTAAATATCCAAACAAAAAGAAGTGAAGAACAAGGTCCTAATCAATTTTCTTCAGCAAAAATCTGCTGTGAGGACCTTCTAGCAACAAAACAGTAATTCATCAGAAAAAAACCAAAAACATAACAAAAGTTGTTTACTGTGAAGATGTTTGATTGGCATTTATTTACCTTGTGTAATTATCTACAATCTAGTTGTTCGAATGTATGCAATTCAAAGAACCTTGAGAAAGGTATCTTTCACTTCTGAATGGACTGAAAGTCCTTTGTCGTGAGCAACAAAAGAAGAAGCCTCAATGACTCAATCAGGATGCAGCATGATGTTATACCTAAACTACTTAGTGGCAGAATGCCCTCTCCATACATTGTCCCACCATTTTGTGTCAGCTTTAACAAACTAACTCTGAAATAAAACAAACTATCCGGGAGAACAAAAAAGTGGTCCATTTCATTCAACTCATCCTGTGGCTACGTGACTGATGACCCAACATGCGAGTGGTCAGATACAGGCAGAAGAGGCAGGGAAAATGACCAGTGCTCCAGGTTGGCACCTCACTACTAGGATCAGCTTAGTCTTAATACTAGTCCAAGTTCTTAGACTGTGAGAGATAACTTTCAGAGGGTTGAAGTAAAATAAAAGTCACTCCTCAAAACTGTAATCAAAACCATGAAGAAAAGGCTGATTATTAACCCAGAAAAAGGGTCAAAGTAAGTACAATCATACAGTAAGTAACTAGCACCTTACAGCTCAGCTAGTGAGACAAAGGGAAAAAAGGGTAAATTTTAATAGAAACAGCAATGCATCAGCTGGGAAGAACTTCAGATATCTTTTTAAGTACAAAAAGGCAATCTCAGAGGTCATTAAGGGCATCTGAGAGCTACAGACAACAGTATATGTTAAGAGACCACTGGCAGGAAACAGGAGTTGACTGTTCAGCCTCTGCAGCAGTAGTAGCACGGCTCTATGATCCAAAGGTAAGACATTAAAATTAACACAGTCAACTCATCATTAAGGAATCAATACGCAAATATGTTTGGGGTTTTTTGTGCAGCTTTTTATAATAAGAGTAAACAGCAAAGAATTGTGTAATCCTAATATTTTTTTAAATCAAAATGTATCTCTTGTCTCCATGACATTCACTAATAAAGCCTTTTGCAAGTTCCAATTTCTATAAGGTTAATACATTCTAAACTTCATGAAACACATTTTGAGGCATAGACATCTACCACAATATTTGGCAAAGAAGAAATCATTGAAACAAGAATAAAATCATGATACAAAATAAAGTGATACAGATGTCTATTTTTAGTCATACATACACACATAGTGAAAAGCTTCAGAACATATATTTAAAAGACTACTTCCTAACCTTTACAGAACAACATACAATGTACATGAAATAAAACAGAAAACTGGGTTGAATAAAGTAACAACTTTTAAGAGAAAAAAACATGCACAAAACTGTTTGGCTGACAGATCAATTATTCTTTTTCAAACAATACAATTGAAATTTATTATACAGCAAGAATACCACATCATAATACACTGCTATGAAGTTTCATATAGACAACTAAAATTTGAGATTTTGTTCATGTATTCATGTAGTTATCTTTCTACACATGCAATTAGCATTTTTTGCATGAGTAGGCATTAATTTCTATAGAGTTACATACTTTGTACAGACTAGGTAGTTTATATTTTTAATACAATTTGTTATGACATACCCATGTGTCTGCATGAACAGGCCTGATGTTGCTGAGAAGCACCTCTTCATAATTTCCATAATCACTGAATTTAACAACTGCAGTTGTCCCAGAAGAATGAAGAGCTTCAATTTCTGCCCGGTAGAACTTAAAAAAGAAATTTTCAGAGGTCATAAAGTATTATCAGAAATACCAGAAACAGCCAACAATTACCTTTTCATATAGATACATATGTATGTCTCTATGTGTATATATATATACTTAGTCTTAGACAGTATTATGTTTTGAATTAAATTTGTACCAGATGTTAAACCAGGTATCTTAAATTTCCACATGGTAGACTGCAAGGGTATGGTAGAAATGTACTTAGAATACTCGTTGAGAAAACATGCAGCTTATCAAAGTAGACTGAACATTTAAAAGTTTTCATTTCTCTGAAAGTAGAACAAATCCATCACTAACACAAACGCTGCTGTATAGAGAAAAGTGTTACTGTAAGGTGTTTACTTAAGATATACATATCAGTAAGTGCTTATCAGCCATATACACTGAACGTACTTACATATCACATAATAAAGTATTATAAAAATATTATAAAACTGCCCATTCAAAAAGTACTTTTTCAAAACACAAAGCTTGATTATTTTACACTTATGCAAATATAGCTTTCTTGAAGATACTCAATCACTTCTATCTTAGTGAAACAAAGAAATTACTGCCCCCTAATGTGGTTAAACTTAGTACTGTATTGTATCATCACATTTTTGCCCTAGATGTGAGCAGCAGTATTTATTATAAATACCAAGTAATTAATTACTGTCCACAACACCCCTTCTAATGTGATGAATACTCTTCAGATAACAGTCCGGGATAACCTCATATGTATTTATTTTGCAAGTTTTTACTTTCCAGAATTTAAAAAACTCATCTCACAGTAATGCAAGTAAGCTTCTCAAAATTGGAAACAATTCAATAATATGCCATTATACTTCACACTAATCTATCCACTCAAGCTAAAAATTGCTATTTAAGAGAGTCAACTCACTATATGTTGACACTACCAAAAAACTTGTATGGCTTATCATTTGTTTTAATCACACAAGGAAAGGAGAGAAAAAAGTCGTGGGCTGAGCTGAAATGTACGAAAAAAATGAAAACCACTTATAATAAATAATATAAAAAACAGTAAAAAAAAAAAGACTGAAAGAAGTGTGAATAGGACCTAGTCAAAGAGTAACAATATTTAAGGTAGTTCCCTTCTCAGATTACCACAAAGAGCAAAAAACTAAAGAAACTACCCAAGAAGAGTGACAAAGAACTGCTGAACAGAGAATGACAAAATCAAACAAAACAGTCTAAAAGTCTTTTAGCAAAGGAGAAGAAAGTAAAGTATCCTGCTGCTAGAGAAATCTTATTAATGGGAAAAATAGCTGAAAAGGAAGTACTTAAACTTTTAAAATATCAGTAAAGCAAAACTATCATGTAGCCTAAATCATTTGTTCCACAAATTCTTTAGCTAATAGTCTACTAATGCTAATCAAAATTAAGCCTTTTGCTGTTTCCTTCCTGTAAGGATTGAAATTAAAAGAGGGAGTTTTTTTAAACAGCCCCATTCCTGCAGACTCTGAGTTTCCTTTGAGCTACTAAAGGTTGTATGCTGACTTATTCCAGAAAAAAGTTTTACACATCCACCATTCAAGTCTATTTTTGTTCTTTGGCAAAGAATATGGGCACTTAGAACCATATTCATCCCTTCAAATGTTTGGCACTTAAATAAAATGCTTCAGTGAGGAGCTTAGTCTTCCTAAACTCCACCTAAGTGAGAGAAACAAGGACTTGATTTAAGCACTTTAAAAAATGAATATAAGTGACATATCTCATAAATATAAAAAATAGAGCAAACTGCACACCTACGAACAAAGCCCATGTCTCTGTAGCAGTGCGCTAAATATCTCCTACAAGTGCGTAAGAAAACATTAGCGGTACAATTTGAGGTAATTCTCATTTGGCAAAGGCATACCTTGTTGTCTTCCCAATAAAGAGCAAAACATTCATCCCCTGGTCTCCAACTTTTTCCATACTCCATGTGAATAGATGGTTCTAATATTTTCTCTGGTTTGATGGGCCCAGTTCTCCTTTTGGGACCGGTGTTGTAATACAACATTTTATCATCAAAAGATGGGATTGTAGTGGGTCCTGATGATTTGATAGGTCCTACTCGTCTCCCTTTCTGATGATGCTCAGTATCTCCATTTGGTACAGTATTAAAATTATCAGTTCTGCTGGGATTTTGGTAATCATTATTAACACCAAAATGTTGCTCACTTTTTACCATGAAGGCTTCACTGCTTATTGTTCGTGCCTTCCTATCACAAAAATTTTCCGAATTGTGTGTTTGGTTTTCCCTTTTCCCACGTTTCTGGTTATTGTTGTCTGTAGTATCTTGAGTAGAAGAGTTTTCCTTGAATTCTGTGAAAGACACTCCTTTTCCTATTCTGTTTTGCATATTATCTCTTTTTTTGAAAGTAATATCACTCTGGTGAGTGGCTATGGGATAACTCAAATCCTTTGGCCTATCATTTCTAGGAAAATGTCTGTCACTTTTATTTTTTTCATCTGTCCAGTGTTCTAAAGAGCTGTGCCTTTCAGGACCTCTGTTTCTTGGTAATCCACCACTTTCCAAAGTCTGCCTTGAATTCTGAAAATCCCTTTGAAAACGAGGGGGTTTCTCGTTCCTTGGTTGTCTCATGTCATTGCGAGAAATGTGTCTTGAATGATTCTCTTTGATGCCATTCTGTTCTGTATTCATAACTTTGTGCTGTACTTGATGTGCTGGCTGAAATTGCAATTTTGGTTCTAGAAAGAAAAAAATCATTTCAGTTATTAATGTATTTCACATAAACATATTTTAGATGTAGTGTTTCAGACTCTGATAAAGCAACAGTATTCTTTAAAAAAGTATGCAGCATTTACCTTTGTGACACAGGAAATTTAGCAGACACATTTGAACTGTAATTCCCAGTTATGGGAAAATATACACTACTCTGGGCTGCAATTAGAACCAAACCACCTACTAGAATGAGAAAAGCCAGGCATAAATTTCCAGGAGGTTACTCATTCCTCTATATAAACATCAACGACTCACTTGAATAAGTGCCATTTAAGACAGAAAAGCAGAATTCCAAAATGGATAAAGGAAGAGGGAAAAAAATGAGGAGAAAATGAGGAATACTTCCAATCTGAATTGAAACTTTCTGCAAAAATAAGTTGCTATTGAGTATAAAAGATAAAGGCAAGAAATAGAAGTGGTAAAATGAACACAGCTGCCAAAATATAGATAACAGAAGTAGTAACAAAGCACAGAATTCTGGAGACTCTGATAAAGGAGCTGTAACAGGAACTGCTCAAGGATTACCGTCAAGAGCTTCAACCAGAACTCCAGCTGATGAGAATGCCTGCTGGAGAGGAAGGGAACTGTGGGTTTTTAAGCAGCCATGGAATTTTTAATGGGTTGTTTAGGTGAAGAGCTGAAGGAGGGGAGAGATGAAGATGAACACGGGAGGAAATAATGAAGAAATGAGATTAAACAGGAGAGCTGCATGTAAGTAGGCTCCTGGTCAGTACAATCCTGCAAATGATCACTGAAACCTGTCTCTTCTCCTTATTAAATTCTAAGTTCTTGCGTGTGTGAGTGTTAGACACCGGATTAGTTATTATTGGGTCAGAACAAACTTGTGGAGAGTGTGTGTGTGGAGGGGGAAGGGATGGGTCAAACCTCATCGAGGTGGGGTGGCATCATATCCCTCATGGCAGGTCCCTGGAGCCCACATAGGGAAGTCCTGGACTAGCTATCAGTCACAAACAGCCCAGGAAAACTGTAACACACCACACCTTCTGCAGCTCCTAAGCCAGGCTCAGATTGGCAGGAACAGTGAGGACACTGTCCCTCTCCCTGGCCCGGAACCCCCAGAGTGGCTGGTGGGTCAGAGACCCCTCCTGCAGGGGTTGGCCATAGGGGCCACAGTAGATAAAACCAAGGGCATGTGTTTGCCTCGTGTCACAACCCTGCCATCGGATGTGTGAGAGCTGGTCTTCTACAAGGCTTTGGTGGTAGCTATATAGTCTGTCTCTCCCTCTTTCTCCTTCTCGCTTCTTGCTCCCTCTGCTTCTCTCTCTTTGCTCCTTTCTTGATGCTTGGGGTGGTTTGGAGCTGGAGGGGTTGGATCTTGATTTAAGTGTTGTGGAACTGGTTAGATTTTTTACTTGAGTGTTGTAGATTAATAGTATATGTTGAACCAGTATTGTAGTGGAACATTTTTGTCTAGCTTGTGTGGTGTCCTTTTGAACTTTGGCCTAGTCCTCTTATTTACTCCTCTAAATTAATAAAGAAACTCCTCGGGAACAAGTTCATGGTTTATTCTCTTAACACTATCTCCAAGTATTAAAGAAGCATATAATATAATGGCCAGTCTTCGCGAGTGAAGATCCGGGGAAGGTCTTTACACCTTCCAGCCTGCGCATTGGATTTTTTAGGTGAGACACAGTGTGCGCAGAACTGAGCCCACCCTTTAATCCTAAAGTTCATCTGCCGGGGCCAAGCGAGCTTGGATGGTGGCAGCGAGGTCCTCAGGACATAGAAGGGTTGCCTTTTAAGGGCTAACGAGCTCCATCTGCCCGGGAGTGGCCCTGACCGGGAATCGAACCCGGGTCTCGGCAGTGACAGTGCCGCGCCCTTACCACTAGACCACCAGGGGCTCCTTTAAGAAGCATATATCTATATATTAAAGTAAAACTCACAGCCAATCAGAGGAGCCAGCAGCTCCTAGGGCTGGAGTTTTACAGTTAGGGTACGTGTTTTTAAACCTACTGGAAAATTTGAGACAGAGTAAGCTGGCAAGTGGGACAAGGAAGACCTGGCAGCTGAATACTGGAAAGAGCATGGGTCTTGGAAGGCCATCTACCAGAGAGACCACAGGTCTGGGCTCACAGTGGCCAGACCTACATAAGTATGCTCGTGTAACCCCCCTACAAACTTCAGGTTGTACTGTCCAACAAACTGAACAAGAGGCATCTGAGATGCCAGAGGTTAACGGGCTCAGGACCAGGAGAGACCCAAGTAAATATAGGCACAATGGCAGCTGGGTATGAGATCCGCCAGCACAATTTAAACGCGATGGAAAAGAAAAACAAACCTGTTAGAGTGATTAATATGAGCAATTTTGTGTCACGTGGGTGACTGAAAAGGTGTCATTCCCTTGCCTGTGTCAATCCATGGCACCTGGCCATGGATATACTGTGTGCATGATCCCAGTGGGCATGGTGGGACTGTGCACTCAGGCTCTCATACAATCCTATGGGAAGGGAAAACTAAGAACTTCAGTTGACATGTTACCACCAGAAACAATGAATGCTGATACCTGACAGCAAATGTATCACTTTTCATAATTAGATGCTACATGGTAAGAGTTAAAATTAAAAGGGAAATTTCACCTGGAGGTTTTTTTTTTACTTCCAAACATCACATCATTATTAATAGGTTACAGAATTTTTATCAATTTAATTTACTACATTAGCCTAGTAAGAACCTAGCTCTATTTTTACATATACCTGATGTAGCATAACTTTTAGAAGTCAGAAATCTTTGACTAAAATGATGTAGTGTTTTTATTTTTTAAAATGACATGAGTATACATAAGGCTTAGCATGAACATGATCTTGGTAAAAATACTGGGACATCTTATTGCATGATTACTTTGAAACCCATAATGTTTTTAATGCATTAATATATAAATATATACTACTCAGAAAGAACCAAGAGTTTCATAAATATGCATTTTCTTTTTAAAAATGAAAACGTGACTAAATTTCGTATCATTTTTTATTTATTAGACTAAAACTTTTGAATTTAAAAGTATCTCTTTATTTCTTCTTTACAAACATCACATGAAAATAATGGTTTTCTTTAGTTTATATTTGTAACTTTTCAGTATCTTCATTACACTTTTCCACTTCTGTATAATAGATACCCATCTTCTAGACTTCCTATGGTCCTAGAAAGATTTGACTTCCTAATTGAAGAACAGTCTTTGCTCATGACATTCTTAATTTATACTTCTTCTCCTCTGGTAATAAAATGCTTGGGCTTCCACTCTTCCTATTTCCAACCTACGCTCTTATGTTTATTCCTAATGTTAATTACACATGAAATGACGGAACTGTTTGATGACCCCTGAGTGTTTACTCCCTTGTACACACCATTAAAGAAAAATGTGTATAAAACTCTAACAGACTTCATTATAAATCATCTTAGTTAATATTTTTTATCATGAAACTCATTAAAAGGTCACTGTTCCAACAGAAAAAAAAACAGAAATGGGTTTATGACTAGATTGGGCATGGTAATATTTCGCTAGGTGGCAAGATTTTAGGTTTGACTTAGACTCTAAATGTTTTCTCTTGAGGGTTGTCTTTTTCCCTTTCTCTAAATGAATAAACATTTCCTGAACTGAGATGGGTAGTCACCTAGGCAGCATCTAGTACAGACAAGGACTCTATACAACTGCAACACAAAAGCATGCAGAGCAGTTATACTTTAGTTAAAGCCTTGAGAAAAAACAAAACACAGACATATTCTTTGATAATTGGAAAAAGTGTACAGAAATTTCTATTCAATTTCATAGCACATAATAAGTAATTTTAGCTATTGTCTACCCAACATATTGTGATCATAATACTATAGCAACATGCTGATTTGGAAGTGTGTTGAATCTTTCAGTTACAGATTTCTTTTAGACAGCAGTGGAAAGTTAAAATAATATTACATGTTAGACTGCAAGTAAAGTGACTAGAGGATTTCAAAACAGTGAAACAGGCATCTTCTTTTTAGGTCTCTTCACTGTGACATGTACAGGGTGCTCACAAAACACCTGACATTTTTCTACTCTAACCTTAAGTTATGTAAAATCCAATAAACTTATGTCTTATGCAGAGGTGCAGTTATTGTACTAAAAGCTTTCTCAGGGACTAGTCATACACGACAGCCTTGACCGAGCAGGACATGTTAACCCACTGTTCAAGCACAAACCATTCACAAATGGAGACTGGCAACTAACAGTACTGTCAACAGTACTTAACAAAAAAAGCCTAGAGATAAGAACAGTACCCATTCTTCATGTATTTGTGCTGATCACCAAAAAACTGAAGGGATTCTAAAGTTTTTTTAAGAGAAAAAGTTAAGCAACAAGGGATGCTATTCACAGATATCTTTGTCAGATACATCAGACATATTGTCTATTTCAACTGCTGTTCCTTCCTTCTACTTCTTGCCCCAACTCCAACAAACCATTAGCTAATGTTTCCAGAAAAGTAATGCTTCCTACAGAGCAACAACAAGCAATTAATAATTTGCCATTTAACAAGAAGATTCGGTAAGCTCCTTTCAAATAGCAAGATGGGTTAACCCAGTCATCATCACTGTACTCAGAGGTTTGGGAACAAGTTCTGGGAAAAAAATACATTTCAAAATTAGAGATGAGGCTTTTGTCATCTGCTGGGAAGCTTTAAGCCGATGATTAGCATTTGTCAATTTGAAACCCTCACTCAGTTATTTTACTCATTTTAGCTTTTGTATGTGATGACGCAAGAAGACCGTACAGAACCAATCACATTCCCTTGATTACAAGAAACCAGCAGGATCTGCTGCACTTGGAAATCCCAGTCAACAGAGTTTATAAAGCACTGCTCCATGCACAATGGAATTTAAAGAGTACGGTTTCCTGTGGCTCTCTCCTGTGGATTTTATCATGCTTAATAATGTGTTCAAATTCAGAGACTGTGGCCCTTCCCACACCGGTGGCAATGATTTGGGTTTCTCATTTCAAACTGAATATTTTTATGTAACTGCATAGAAGTGTATCTTGTAGACAGCTACCTCCAGGGCATGTTCTACCTCATACTGGACAAAAGATTAATGAATTAGAAGAAAATTAATGATACATTTGCACACGTTTCAAGCCATGGAATGAAATGCCCATTACTCAATAGCTTTGTCAAGTTAGATAAATATCAACATAAGTCTTTCTAAAAGGTAGTAACACTGGGGAACTGGAACCTGAGGTCATGTTTCTGTCGAAACAAAACAAATACAAGTTGCAGAGGAGGGTGATAATGAAGAAGTGGCCAAAAAATTCCAAAGCATTCTGCTGTTGCATTTACCACAAACTTTAACTTACAGGATTAAAGGACTGAACAAAACCCAATAATTTTTTATTATTCTTTAAAATGTATGAAATTTACTATATTTTTCTGTTTCATATTTAATAAAAAAATAAAAATACAAGCCTCCTAACATATGCCACCAATGCTAATATACTACTACAACAAATAAAAGTGATTTTTTGATATTCACAATTAATACCACTGAAGTTCCATTTTAAAAGTAAAGCTGAAAACTAAACATGCCTATGGTTCAATCTGGATCTCATGTCAATAGGGTACACCATGTTTGCTGAAAATATGGCTACTAAATGGTAAATTCCAAAGATTACAAATTTACTCCAACTCCAAAAAGTCAGACTCTTTTTTTCCTCCAAGTGTCCTCGCTCCCAGATATTCAAATAAATTGTGGCACCACGAAATGTAATAAATATCTTTTAATTATATTGTATTGCATTACTGATTTGTTTTAAACCTTTAACTTCTTTGGGAATATATAAGGCATATTGTTCATTATTCATTAATACTACAGTCAGATCCCTTGGCACTGCTTTGTTCTCACTGATAAACCTTGTGTTTACTTATTTAAGTTGGCAAAGATGGATGAATTGTTCCTCATAACAAAAGAAAAATATAAGAAGGAGATTAATGGAAAAATCTTTTGTGCTCAGTGGCAGAAATAATCCAAGTGCAAGCAAAGGCAGCTAGTTGACAGCAATTTTGTCTACTTATTTGTGTTATCTCTTGCAGTCAGGAGGATTCTCTTGCCAACCAAAACTCAAACTACTTAATTTCAATACAAACATTTTCATAGGTGCCACCAACCATTCCCATTTAATAAATAAATAAATAAATAAACTTGCAGTATAAAGCTATGGATATGTTTGGTTTAATTCTTTGCATTTCATTTAAACAAAGTATGTTTATTGTATGTTATGTTCATACATGAAAGAACTAGCAGATTATGGAGTCAGGTATTTAATACTTTCAACAGTTGTAATTATTTCAAACAATATTTCATTAACTGGCAAAAAGGAAAGAAAACATAAACAACCATTGCAAGACACCACTTAGGAAGCAAAGGACTAACAACTTGCTTTCTTATAACTAATTTGTACTTCTTTTTTAAAAAAAGAAAACCAAACATCAAACAACAAGAACTTTAATGCACTATTTTATCTCTAAAAAGGAATAGAGTTACATCCTAAAAAATACAAACATATTTCAATTCATAAATGTTTTTCTACTTAGTCCAAATCCAAGGATGAAAAGGTACGAAATCAAAGATAAAAAATTCAACAACTGTTCTGCAGTTCCTGTTCACAAACTGTTTCTGTTATTGCAAACACAGAAATGAATTGAGAAATTCTCCACAGTACTGAGGTTTCAGTACTGTGCAATTAGAAACAGTATAGAAGAAAAATAGGGAGGCATGCACAGAGAAAAGCAAATCAATCCTCTGTGTACTTGAAAAGAAACAATTCTACTTTTCAGACACTTTCTTTCCCCAGATCACATAAGCAAATTTTGAAAAAAAAAATGCAAAATAGCACGGAATTAAAAAATATTTATCTCAGTTTGGCAAAACTGCCTTCTGTTTTTTGGCTTCTACATAGATTATCAGTCATTTAGAAGACATTACAATCTGTCTGAAGTGTACTGAAGTTTCGTGCTTGCAATAATGATAAATACAGCTATCCCAGGTAATCATATACTCCTGGACACAAGCATTCATGTAATAATAGAGACATTCTCATTTATTTAAAATCACTATCACTATACAAAGGCCATCTCCCTGAATACCTGAAAAACAATACAGTATTTTAGAGACCATATAGGACAGCAAGGTGCCAGAAACACTGCAAAATACAGAAGATGTAGAACTATCTTCTTTTATATGTAGCACAATAAAGCCTTTAGTGAATATACATGGAGAAAAAACTGACAGCCTGGGCCCTCCTTAGTGTACTACTGTGCAGGAAAATCAATGAAGAGACCTTATTTTTGGCCATGTAACATTACATATTTGAATCATTTTGATCAGTTTCCCCCAACATGCCTTTTATTTCTAACCAATATTTTTCTAGTTCTAAGTGAAACTACATATGTCTACTGCTAACAGCCGACAGGATCAAATGAAATTTAGAAGGTACTATGTGTGTGTATATATACATCTTTTTTCTGCAGGCGCTTGGATGCAGACTTCATCACGAAAGAGTTCACAGTGGTCACTGTACATATGTCACTCTGCCAACACTTTTAACGCTCCTGTCATCTCAGTTTAAATGGAACTTAAGAGAACTAATAATTAAGAATTTAACTGAGATGATTTTCAACCACAGAGGCAGGAAACTAGTAGAAAAATGGTGGAAAATTTACTTTAAATATATGATTTCAAGAATGTGTTCGAATTCATCAGGCTGCAGAGTTCTTCTCAAATTTGACAAGGAAAAACGCACTTTTAAAATTCAAAATACATATGCCTATGTATTTCCTGAAAAAATCCATTTGAAACAGACTTTGTAAGACAAAAGTAAATTCTAGCATAGAAACAGAGACACAATCCTATGGGCCTATACACAGTCAGAAGAAAAATAAAAACAACATGAGACTAAGCAACCACTTCAAAGCCTTTCCAATTACAAAGAATAACATCTTTTTCAGAAGAAAAATGGGCAGAAATACCTAAAAAATTTCACAAAATAATCAGAACATTTTCTGAACTCTTCAAAATGCTAAAAGGTTAGGTTTGGTTTTACTTTTCAGAAAAGCGTGATTCAGGAATACACCAGATTGCATACTGATGACTCAGATAAAGCTAAAAAAACCCAACATAGTGGTAAGAAACCACAAAACCAAAAATCCTATGTCATGCTAGGAACTATGCCAGGACCTTTGGCAACTGAAGGAGTACAAAACCTTTACAAAGTTTTAATAGAATTATGTTTCTTTTTATGATCACTTATGGCATCTTTTTATTTTCATTTAAGAGGGGAAAAAATATACAAAAGCAAAATGTATTTATCTTTAAAACATAACACTGAAGATTATAAACTGAAATACATATAACCAATATAACCATTTTTTTACTGACATAACACTATGCTTTATTGTCTACGTACATGTACTAAATCCCAAGATCATAGAAGTCCCCCCTAGCAATCCATAATACCATTTTAAAAGAAGCAATTCACTCATTTCACAAGTCTTGGTAAACTACCATTACTTACATACTATAAAATTACTGACAGTAAGCAAGTTATATAATGCACAGGCGTTATTTCTATTATTTTCCTATAAATGTCTTTCAGTCACACATAAAAGCCTTCTCTAACCTCTCAATATAAGCGCAAAATTTATCCAAAGAAAAATCAATGTTGGCAATGTAAGTGAAAAGCACCACCATTTTTTTCATTTCTGTTCACTCTAAAAATCTAACTCATCTTTGGTAAGTGAAACAAGTTGCCAAGATATATCTCAACCATCATTCCCTACACCTGCTTTCTGTATTATATTCATTACCTGAATAGTTTACTAAATTGTATCAGCTAATGCAGAATGCTTTTGTATTTGAAAGGTACTTTTTCTTTGAATATTTTAGATTTCTGACAAATACAGGGAAGACTCACGATATCATGTGATTCAGGAGGAATCCAACCAGATTAACAAACTGTGATTTATGTCATCTTATTTCAAATTACTTACTTTTAGACATCTAACCATCACAGTGCAATTTATTTGACCTTTCTTCAAAACAGAGGAACAACTTTCCAAGTACTCTTTTTTTTATGACTGAGTGTGGAGGAAGTTCTAGGAATCACCTTTTAGATGACATAGTTAGGAAAAAGAATTCCACCAACACTGTCCAATATTTGTTCCAGATACATTAATTTCAATAACTTACCCTCTACAGTTAGAGTACCCATTTTGGATTCCAAGAAATCAAACAGTGTGCTTGGTGCAGATGGTCTGGCATTTCCTAGCTCTTCTTCATCTTCAGGTCTTATTCGGCCTCGGCCCTTCCCTTTACCTGTAAGCATCAAAAGTTTTTTTGTGAATGGGGAATAAATAAATATAAAAGTATGCACTTTTTCATTTGATTTATAAAATGTTTGTATTTTCTGTCTTTAAAAAAATCTGTCATGGACAAAATAGATAGGACAAGGGAGAACATTTTCAAAATAAAAAAGGAGAGATTTAGATTAGATGTTAAGAAGAAATTCTTTAATGTGAGGGTGATGAGGCTCTGGAACAGACTGTCTATAGAAGCTGTAAATGCCCCACTCCTGAAAGTGTTCAAGGCCAAGCTGATGGGGCCCTGGGTGACCTCGTCTAGTGGGTGGCATCCCTGCCTGTGGAGGGGAGGTGGAACAACATGATCTTTAAGGTCCCTTCCAACCCATGTCTTTCTGTGCTTTTAGGATACGAATATTTCCCAGTTAAGGATATTCAAATCTGTGACTTCCAATTCAAAAATTTTGATGAGAATATAACGCCTTTCTTAGTATTTGCTTTCAGGTTTGCAATGCATCTAACTTGAAGGAAAAACATACAGATATGCCTTTCTGTAACTACATTAGTAATCCACCATACACAAAGTCCTTTGCTTGTAAACACTGTTTTAAAGCACCTGTTTTCAAGTTTTACCTCTAGGTGGTGGTCCCTGAATGGGTTTCTGTTTACTGTTGTTCAGAAGAAAATTTAATGCTGCCTCTAGGCTGTTACTGTTATCCATAAGTGCCTGCCTTGCTGCTTCTTTGCTGAAACCCATTTCTGTTATGTGTTTTAGAGCCTTTTCATCAACCTGAAATAAAAGATACACACACAACTAATAAATACAACAAAGACTCTATAAATCCACCAGATTTTACATGAATTTTTCTTTCATTTTTAACTGAAACACTATTTCTTATTTAATTGATAATAAATATTTCAGTTTTATATAAAATCTTCACATACAATCTCTCTTAGGTCCAAATAACCAGCTAATAAGGGTTTGGGTTTTTTTTATATTATTATGATTTTTAATTCATTCATTTTCAGTTCTACTGTTATGTGCTTTCAAGCACAAATTCTCCTAGTCTAGATGAAAACTAAAAGGAATATTTCAAAATAATACTGGTATCAAAACTAGCATTTGCTCATGTTTGAACCCGTTCACAGCTTTTACAGACAATACAAAACCCAGTTACACATTTCTTAAAACATGGAGAAAATATAATTGGCTAAAGGTTTTGTAGAAGAAAGCAAAGAAGTACAAACAATTTACTTCTACAGAAATCCAGGCTTTGTTATTCAGAACTGTATAGAGCACAATGACAAAAAGGCAAAGCAGGAATCACAAAGCATCAAGTTCAGAAAATAGCCTAACATCTGCTTTAAAGCACTCACATGAAAACTGCCTCTTCCAGTGAAGACAGACTTACATGCAACAAAACCAAAATGGGACTAGGCCCTCTGTCCTTCCTTATCCCATACTCAACCAAAATGACACCAGTTACCCATCTACTGGAATAGTTGCAATCAAATACATTCTTAATTGGAATCCCATCAATATAACACTGTGTCTACAAATTCCAAAATATGACCCTCCAGAAAAAAACCTCCAAACCTAGTGGAATCTAACCTTTTAGATACACATATGAAGTTTCCTGGGTAAATTTTTACCCTCAAATCACACTGAAGCTCCTAACTATCTCGGTAACGTACAAAAGCACCTTACGTATTCTAAATAGACTTCAAAATTATTCAAAATTATTGAAAGTCTTTATTCCTTGAGGTATTTTAATTTTATTTTTGTTATATTTGTTTTTTGGTTTTGAGTAATGAGCAGTTAAGGTTCCATTTAAATCTTCTACCTTACCAGTTCTCGGTAGACACCTTCATTCTTCCCCTCAGGTTTTGTTATCTTCTCTTTCTGGAACAGTTCCCTGTTTCGATTCCCTCCAGCACTCACACTGAGATTACTTCTGCTACTACCACCACCTCCTCCGAACGTCTTGGTCTTCAGATAAGCACAAAAATGACATTTCAGCAAACAGAACTTACAAAAATAAGCCTCAATATTAGCTAGTAGAAAAGGTGCAGTAAATTTGTTGCACTGGCATTTTTATGATTATGCTTTGCATCAACAAATAAAGCACTAATTTACACACACAAAAGATTAATTTATTAGGTAGGTCTTTTTTCCCTGTGACCAAAGAAGGCTGTAAAAAGGGTATATAATTTTAGTTTTTATGACTTACAAAGCAGATTTCAAAAATAAACTAAAAGGAAAACCAAAGGAGGACAAAAATCTGACACATTAGAACTAGACTTCCTAGCTATTCTTTCAGACTGAGGACATGGAATCATCAGGTTTTCGAGAACTGAAAAAGACATCAAAATTTATAATCTGCATTAATTAGTTAAATCTTATTAGCTAAATTGTAAAGCCCACATTTTTTAAAGTGGTATCAAAATCATATCTTCAATAAAACATTATGATACATTTATTTGCTTTATCCAAAGAACATAGTCATCAATCCAAAAGGACTCTCTTTTTTAAAGATACAGGAGTAGAATTATAAGCAGTCGTGTATCAGAAAGCATTTGTCATTTAATACTTAAAATAACAAGAAAAGATCAATCACGGTAAGTAAAACGCTGTAACACATGCATTCTAACCTCCTTGCTCTTTGCTACTTCTGCAATAGCAGCTGTTCTCTGCTTTTCAAATTCATCATTGTCCACAACGGTTTTTACAGCATTTGTCATCTGCAGAGTCTTTCTGCGATCAAGGTCTCTGCTATCCACTTGCACATGAGATGCACATTTCTGAAAATGTAAAAGAATTTTTTAATTAACTCTTCTGCCTACTGTCATTTTAAAAAGACCAAAGTATTATTGCATCAGATTAGTACAACTTAAGATAAAGAATATGATCACAAAAATGTACACCTAGGACAGCTAGATCTGTTTTTGCTAAAAGCACACTCCTCCGGTGCACTAGGAAGGCCAAAAGAAGACTTTTACATTTTAAGCTTAGCTCACAACATGGCTGGTATGATTCTTGGAAATACTTTTGGCATTTAAGGAGGGACTATGTTAGTGCCTACATGATCTGACTGGCACAATCAGCGACTCCACATACAAAATAAGTTTGAAATTGAGAGGAAAAATGTCAAATAGGAACTGGTGCAACAAAGTGACAGGACTAACACTTTTTTTTTTTAAACACGTTTTTTATATCCAAGCCATCATGATCTAAGGTGTTTTGATAGCCTTTATTTAACTGGAACCAGGTACCCTAGATATCATAATACAAGTTCTTCCATAAAATGACAAAGGGAAGTACACTATACCTGCCCAAAGGGTACAAAAGGTGGAGGACCGCCTTCTGTTCCAATGTTACTCCTACTGTGTTTCGCCAAACTCTGTAAAATAACATTGATGATTAATAAACTGAAAACAGATTATATGTTAAGTGGCTCTATTTCAGAAAGTACAGGAAATTTGCAAGATGGACATTTTAAGCAGAAAAAAATAATGATACCCTTAAAATCCTGGGGTACTTAAGAAGAAGGCTGCATGAGGGGCAGAGAAATGAAGAAAATTACAGAGTTCTGCATAATCATTAAGGCAACACATAGAGCAAATGTAGAAAATTCAGTTATATACCCAAATCTACACTAATAGAACAAAGCAGCACAGAGATAGGCAGCAGACGTTTCTTTACATAGTGCCCAGTAAACCTGCTGTCATTAGAGATTGTAAAGACACAGATTCAGCACGTTTAAAAAAGGATTGGACCAATTCATCCTAAAGAAGGTAAGGTTCATGAGGATCTTATCAATTTACACAAACAACTGAAGGGAGAATGTAAAGAGACTGGTTCTTTTCAGTGGTGCCCAGGCAGAAACTGAAAAACAAGGGGGTTCCTCTGAGGGTGACTGGGTATTGAGGGTGACTGGGTATTAGCACAGGTTGCCCAGGGATGTTGTGGAGTCACCATCCTTGGAAATACTCAAAAGTTGCCAGGACACTGTTCTGGACAACTGGCTTTAGATGGTCCTGATGGAACCAAACGACCTCCAGGTTCAACCCCTCTGTGAAATTCATGATTCCATGCATAAGAGAATACAGAAAAGATGAGTCAGAATTGTATCCCCAGATAAAACGTAATACAGCAATTCTGGATGCTAAGGCTATATAAGAGCTCCCCACTGTCAGAGACAGTATTATTTACTTAGGGCTATATATGACATTTACCTATATACTTATTACACTGATGTAAAATTGATTTAAATCCATCATGTGAGAACTGCAGTATAAATAGGAACATGCTTTAAGTTTTTTAAACTAAGTAATGGATCAATTTAGCTAATACATACCCAAATTAAAACTTTTGGTCCACTCCTTTCAAGTTAACTACTTTTATTCAGGAGCCAAAGACCGTTTTCTAAATCATTTATGGTTATTAAGTTCTTTCAAGGCTGAAAAAAAATATAATAATCCTTTTCTTCATGCCTCGGAGCAAAAAAACACTGATAAAGTATTCGATAAATTATTCAAAACAAAGCACTTAGTGCAAATATCATAAAATTTTTCTGCTTTAGATTCAATCAGTTCCCTTAAAGTGCTGCCTGAGAATTACAAGCTAACCAAGGGCTGATCACTGTAGCATGTTCATACCTTTCTGTATCTATTAACTGAAGCACCAGAGTACAACAGTGATTTTACAGACAAGCCGCTTCACTTCCCCAAGGAAAGCACTCTAGGTCCAGTAAACCCTACACTTATTCTGGTTTTTATTTGTTTGCTTGTTTGTTTGTACCTAGAGAAATGCAAGCAATTTTGGAATGAACTCCCACGCTGAATCAATTTATAATAAAAAAACCCCATTATGTGCTAGCCTAAGAACTCAAGTATCAGATCATAGTTAACGCCTTATGTCCTACAATCAGGAAGAACATGCTGAAGTTTAAGGGTACTACATTTTTCTTTCCCAAATCAGAATCAAGAAAACACATGGAAGAAAAAGACTGTTCTAATCTACCACTCAAACATGCAATTGGGCAAATAGCAAAAGCACCCTTAAAATTGACTGCCTATTTACTACATTTAGCTACATGGATTTTGAATCGTAACAACTTATTCCATAAAGCTGTTACCCATAATGAAAGAACTGTATGGTCTAATGGTAAACAAGAGCCCTGACACTTTCTTCCCAAGCAGTACTGTCTGCTGAGAAGTGAGAGCAGCTGCTTTGGAAATGACATTTCATATTGCATCAAATACAAAGCAACCAGGCAACAAGAATGGTATTTTTTAACTTACAGTTAAATATGCTCATAGCACAGCAGTAACTATCATTTACAATAAACTGTGTTACAAATACATTTAGTATGTTTTTTTTATCCTTTCTGCTGTATTTGCATTGTGACATTAAAAACCTATTTCCTAGGCAATCTCTTAAGAAACAAAGGTTTTACAATATGAGATTGAACTAGATATTACATTCTACTGTACCCTCACGCTTCTTTCTAATATGAATTTTGAAGTATACATAAAACTACTCCCTTTTCCCATCAGGTAACCTCAATATTTAGCCCCACCTTCACCAAAACAGAAGACTCATTAAATCTACTAGAGAACTTTACCTTTAGATAATCTGTAATTCAACAGATTCTATGTTTTAAAATGATAAGAGCCTATTAAACACTCTCACCAATCATGTCAGCAAAATTTGCTTCAGACTTCACCTATATATTGTTTGATATTTTGATTAAAGGCAATACAAGATACTGTTTTTTATAAGAAGGGTACCAGCAATATCTCGCAGATACCGATCCTTCATGTTTGAAACACCAGTCACCACTAGAACATGAGAAACTCCATAAAGCAACAGTTATTTGGAACTGTATTTTCACCTACAGATGTCCATGACACTTTACCTTATATTTCCAAATAGTCTAGAAAAAAAGATCTCACAGTAAGTCTCATTTACTCCTTCCTTATTTATATACTGTCACTTAAATACTGATACATGAAAAAAATTGAAATTTGCAGACAAGCATTTACCTTATGATAAAACTGAATGCTACAAGGAATAGTGTTGGGGTAACCCCAACAGAATAGCACATTTATTCCTCATTCAGTGTGATAATACTACATTCATTCTACACATGCTACATTTGTAGTGTGAGTCTCTCATTACTAAAACTTGATTCCACCTGAAAGCAATCTGAATGGTCTGAATGGAACAGAACAGTAATGCAACCTAACAACTAGAAGCTGACAGGTAGGTGCAAGGGCAATAACTTAAGACTGGGTAAACTATTTCAATTCTACAGTTTCAGAATATTATTTGGCTTAATAGCCAAACTTTACGCCTTATTTCATCATTTACATGAGAAGCCAAATTAACATATCTCAGACATTCTAGAAACAAGAAAATAAAAAACTGGCTTCAAAACAAGTAATTTTAAATAGTCGCACAAATAAAAGTTTTCTTTTTATGCAAACACAGTTCAGCATTTTATTTATGCTTCAGTGGCAAGATTAGACAAGGAGTGGCAATGTCCTTTGTCAGCTCTCAGGTATTTTAGCAATCATGCTTATTTGTCCACCGTTCTCTTCTGTAAAGCTTTCTGAATAGGACAAAAACATTGAATTCATGGGGAAATGGCTATCATGTAGCATCTGGCTTCTACAGACTTGTTTGAGCCCTATCTGTCTAGCTGTCAGTCTGGATATAGAACTGGAACTACAATTTCCAGTGGTCATGGTTCACTTGTCCAAACTGATTTATTGTCACCCAGAGGTTTTCACATAGCCACGTTCGTGTGCTGTGAGCTGGTCAACGAGAAAAAGAAAATGATACTCTGGCAAACTCCAAGATGGAACGAGCGAGTTGAGGGGACAGCAACAGGCAATAGTTACCTTTCTATATCTTACCAGAGCAAATGAGTGACAGCTACCACTCAGTTAAACATATCGCATAAGGCCAACAGAACTGGCTCACAAGTGTTGTAGTCAGCAGCACACCAATGGTTATTAAATAGTTTGCTTTCTTGCCAACACAACATGTTCCAAGTTATTTCTTGATATTGGTTTAAAACCAAAATAATAATTATAAAGTAAGAATTATTTGTTGAAGTCCAGAGAGAAGAAATATAAAAACAGACTGTTAATCACCAAGAAAGCCAACCAATTCTATTGACCTTTGTCTTACAAATTAGATGGCATTCTTAAGAACACATTAGCTCTATGTGTCTCCCTTCTGTCCCCATCAATATTAAAACACACAAGAGTTTATGTTAAATAAGAATAAAAATGATAAACTGGGATATTTCTGCTGTTGGTCCCAGAACTTAATTTAAAACGAGGAATGGTTTTTTAAAAAAACAAAAACAAAAACAAAAACCAGCGAAACAATTTTCAACTATAAAAGCACAAAAGGATGACAAACAGAATCTACAACAATGGACACTGTGTAACTCAAAAATCCAAATAAATTCTGGCTCAGTTTGATGAAATCTAGGAAGTGCAACCAAATGCCAAAGAAGGCTACCTGCAGCAAAAACTACTGAGCTCCACTTAACATCAGCAACAATAAAATAAGTACTTTATATAGAAATGACTGCCATGTTCATAAGCAGCTACTCCGTTTCATCAGAGATGTGGATGTAAAAATACAGAGATGAGTGTGGTAGAAGTAGTGATAACTGATCTGGCAATATTTGGGACTAAATACTTCCTGCCCTAAGAACTTCCACCCATTTGTGAGAAAATGTATGAAATAGTATTCCTGCAGCCACTTCTATTGTACTGGGACATAAACCAGAGTAAAGGATCTTACACGTATTTTTGGTTTGTTGAAAGAGTTCAAAACTTCCAATTTGTCTTTATAACCACAGATTTATCTAAAGTATTGATGAAATCTGCAATACAGAGTTCATGTTAAAGGTTACCAACTTCAGCACTTTTTGTACACTTATTCTACTATTTTTGCCTCAAAAATACACAGACCGAAGATGGTAATTGAAAAAGGCAGCATTCTATAATATTTTGGAAATTCAGGAAAACAACCACCCATGACTGTACCAAAATAAATTTAATATATTTGATTAATGTTTTCAATCCCTGCAGAATATGTAAAGGAATCAGTTCCCGTGCAATAATCACTTTTAATTTCTTAAATTGCAACATCATACATAAGACCTACTTACATGTAGCTGGTTGCAGCCCTAAAACTATTGTGACAGAACAGTCCTAAAAGGACTTTATCATTAAAAAAAATTCACAGTCAGCACATTAATCTTATTGTCATTAAATGTAATATACATTCTGTAAAACAAGCATTTGCAGTGGTGTTACCTCACCCTTTGTAATTCCCACTTTTCTATAAGATGCTCCACTTCACCTCCAAGAACTGCTGTGTTACTGTCATCCAGCAGCAAGAACCCATTTCTCACTTCAACAGTTCCTGAAAGCTTAATTTTTGTTCCAGGTGGAGTGTTCAGGCTAGAGGTAGAAACAAAGTCAAATATTTCAAATACATTTATTAATATTCTGCCACAGAGAAACATATAAAAATACTTTTATTATATTTCCAACATTTCATATGCCATAATAAAAATTAACATCAAAAACCTTTGCAATAATTCCTTGAGTATACACAGTACTTTTTCAACAGCTTTATTGGAACACTTCCAACTCATCACACAAAAATGCTATACTGCAAATTAGACTCTAACAGAGATGAATGTTTGCAAATTGTCTGTTTGGTTAAAACCCAATTTCACAACACCAAACTAAGGATGTGATTTGTTTAGACTAAGAGAAGATAGTCTTAGACAACTGACTTTGAGGTAAGTTCCTCATTCTAGTATGTATTTATAGTTAATAGAGGATCTCAAGATGGTTAATAATCTCATTTTTTTTTTAGACACTTAACTTAGGAGAAAAGGAATAGTGGTTAGAAAGCATGCTTTCTATATGTTGCTAACAGCCAGGACTGTACTAGAATAAAAATAAAAACCCTGTATCTCATAGTACTTCTTCTCTCATTACTCTGTAATTTAAAAACATTATGAATTCTTTCTGTTATCAGCTCCCACAAGATGTGAATCTTCCCTATGAAAAACAGTAGAAGTATAAAAGAATCATGCATCTCCAACCCGTAACTGACAGACATGAAAAGTAGAACAATCTGCAAAACTGCTTTCTTATGAGAAACAGGACACAGTCCCTTACAACTTTTCAACTGAGAGGCAATAATATCTTTAAAATATGCTAAAGCTACTGTTGCAATCACAGGCTCATACCACATGGTGAGGCGCAGTCATAGTGGAGTCAGCCAATTACAGCACCAGTGGCATTTACCTTAGCAATGTTAGTGGATTTTCTGTATTGTTTAGATAAAAGCAAAGAAAATGAGATCAAACAAACAAACAAACATGCAAGAAACACAGAAAAATTAAAATTATGCATGAGGGGAGGGGTAAAAGAAAACCATAGTCAAACCATAGTCATTAAAAACCTACAATTTAAAATAAAAATATGATGTTTTAAAAATTGATTTATTTAAAGAAACACTATGTACTGAAATAGTGTACTATTCCAGGATAATAGTCCAGTTTCAAACCTGTAACAACTACACATAACACAAATTTTTTCATATGTTACTCAAAAAAAAGAGCTCACAACATTACTAGAGTGATGAGTTTGCTAACATTTTTCAAATTTTATCAGAAAGCTTTCAAATAATGTCCTGTACTGTGTGTTCAACTTTAAACATTTTGTGATCTAGAATCTACTTACACAGGAGTCTGTTTGCCTTCCTTTACTGCTCTCTTTATATTCGCATTGGAATATGATATTCCAAGTTCTGCTGGCTCAAGCTAAAATTAAAATATCATTAAATGTTCTGACAGCACCACTCTAAACTGCAAGCTGGCTCCTGCTCAGAAGGAGCAGTTTAACAGTAAAAGATGACATTCAAAAATTAAGTATGTATATATGAATATATATAACTGTTGCAGCTAGCAGAAAAAGACAAAGGAAGATTTTTGTTTTCAAAGTCATCTGAACTCAAGAAGTGCATAGCGCACCATGACTCTAGAGACTAAACACTAGAGGTCATCTTTAGCATCTTCATAACCAAACACACAAAAAAAATCCCCATGTTCAACAGTAATTAGCTCTCTTACCCTTCACTTTTAACTGAAAAAATATTCAAATTAAAGGTTTGCCCATGGTTAAGCAGCATTAGCTGCATTAGCTTAGGTGTGTCAGGTCTGTGACACTCCTGTTACAAAGGTCAAACAGAAAATCTGGAATTTGGCTCAAGTTTACACACATTCAAAATGCTGTGTGCCACGAAACTACAACTCAGTAGATGGTTGCAAACATCCACTTTCTTCCATTATGTACTTCAGCATAAACAGTACTGTAAATTACATTCAGATCTGCCTTTTGCATGCTGAATTTAAGTTTCTCCTTTACACTCAGAATCCAAGAAGGAAGTTTTGTCAAGTGATTCTTTTCATATATTACTAAGGAGACTTCCATTACTTTAAGGACATTTAAGTATCAGAGCAAAACTTGGAAAAAAAAAGTTGTTCACCTTATTTTTGACATGCTACTGTATTCTATAGCCGTGCAGCTTGTGTGTCCATCCGTCATCTGTAAACGTAACATTCTGGGAGCAGCCTGAGATTCTTCGTTATCCTTTGGTGCAGCAACATTGCGAATTTTCTGTATTTGCAGAACACAAGGCCCTTCTAGCTAGAAATGTGAAACAGAGAAGACAAGTGTTAAGCAAACACTGTAATATCTAGACACACTAACAGATGCCCCCAGGCAAAGAAAAGTGTGATTTTTATCAGGCAGTCATGTTCAATTTCTATCACTCATGTACTGCATGTTCTACAGCATGATAAAAATTGCTTTTTCAGAGAAACAGTTGTGATGTTTCACACATCTCTGAGACATCAATTATGAAAAAAAAAATGAATGAAAACAGTAGAGGAGGTAAACAAACAAAAACCACAAATACTGTCACTTCCAACATAGTATGGAGTTCAGATAATATTTCACATGTTGTACCCACAGGGTCTCACTGACAATGTTTTCTGAAGAAAATAAAAGCAACTTGGAAGACTATTGGTTTGGATCAAGAGTAAATTTTGAGTACAACTGCTTTGTAAACATTAACTAGAAACACAGTTTCTTCATACAGTGGTAATCAAAACATACCAACTTCAGGGGATATCACTTATCTGTTGGTTACAAAAACAAAAAAAAACAACCCACCACAAACACAAAACACCAAAATAAAACAAAATAAACCCACCCAGAAAACCCCAAACACAAACCTACTAACCAAATCACTTTATCACATTTCAGCTATATCTGAGTCATTTTGATTTCTCTGAAAAATAAAAAGTAATTGTCTGTTGCAGCTCAACTCATCTCTAGCTCCCAAGAGCAGAAAAGATGAAAAAGTGAACAGGTTCCAGGGTTGGAGAAACAGAATAGGTAGCCCAGAAGAACACAAAATAAGACTAGAAACCAGGAGGTAAATATAAAGAAAAGATAAATTAATAAATAAAAGAATAAAAGCAAAGTAGCTTTACTATGATGGCAATACAAGGTCTAATATAGCAATCACTCTCCCTGAAAGGAGCCTTTATACATACAGATCATTTTTAACTGGAACAACAAATCTGATTATCATTTTGGAAAAAAAAAAAAGAATTAAAAAAGGCTGTAGGAAACTAAAATCCACAATCAAAAAATATTGACACAGAAACTAGGAAACTTATGAGTAAACTTAAAAAGGAATTAAGTAACTCTGAGTTCACAAATTAAATCCTTTCTGAATGCTTCTTCTGAAATCAATGTTTCCATTGTAATGGAACTTAGTTCTCAAAAGAAAACCAGTTAACACCTTAAATGTAACATCTATTAAATTATATATTATAACTTTACAGTCTTCTTTGCATTTTTCTCCCATTAAAAATACTTAACATATATTTATGGTATATAGTCATCTAAACAGAAACAGGAGAGTTCAGCTTTTCCAAATCCTATGCAAATGTGGCCATCTTGTGGTTAATGCTGGTAATGTTAACTCTTTCTAAGCCCATACCAAACACAGATATTAATGAGTAATGAAAACATTTCTGTGTATTAATGAGTGAAGTTGATAACCACCTATAATGGTCAAATACCTATGTTGTTTCATACTAGGACTCTATGCCAGCTTTTATGCAACTATTTGCCTATTATAATAATACTACAAAATAAAGTTATTTTCTATGTAAGATTGAAATAACATATGTTCTCAAGATATAGATAATATCAATCTTAGTGTTGGACGAGAGGAACAATAGCAGCACATAATAACTTCTATTGTTTCCTGAAGCATTTCTGAACAACAGATTACTGCTTTCTACTCAGAGATTATATTAAATTGTTCCTGCTCCATAAATATTCTTCTTTATAAACACATAGCTCTGTAACAAAGTATTTGCATACACTGAAAGTTTAATAGCAGCATTTTTTAAGTAGTCAGATTTGATGTATGTTACTCAAAAAAAAAAAAAAAAAGGCAACAGTATGTAACAGCCTGAGCTAAAACTTATCACCCTCCAGCAAATGGTTTTCAAGTGTCTGGTTTGGGTTTTTTTTAGAATAATTTTCTAAGATCTATGATCAAAATAAACTCAGTTGATTAATGTAAGACTAAACTAAATTTTACTAGAAGTTCATGTTAAAAATCCTTGCTCTTTAACAATACTGACAGAAGTATGTAAATTGCTACAATTTAACAAATAAAATTAAAAGATATTATCTTTAATAGAGACCATTAAGGGCCATTTTTTATTTTCTGAGATGTTCATTTCTACAAAATATAGATGCATCTGTGTGTGTACAGGTGTAAAATTATTTTTTCCATGAAAGGGCAGCTCTTATTTCACAGGTATTTCAAAGCACTAACCACCAGAGTTCTTCCTCATTTTTGCGCAGAGGTTTTGTATTTAAAGGAAACAAACAGCACAATTGCACCTCCCCAAGTTTAAGCTGAGAACTCTGAAAAACCCAAGTGGTGATCTGAGGAGTTAAAACTACAAGAAAACATTTTAAAGCACGTAAGTAGATTCTCACGTATAACCTCCATCAAAGCTTTGAGGAAATCAATTACACTTTACCTTTAACTGACCACTTGAACTATGGAACGACAACAGAAATTGAGAAAACTTTCTTTTTAAAGGAAATGGACAAGTTACTAGGTACATTCTCAAGTGATGGATGAAAACCTGACAACTACCTCTAAAGAAATCCTATCATAATGTGCAGTAAAACTCTGAAAAAGGAGTACTACTAAAGTCATTTTGAACTGAAATCGTAACACTAAGTAAGGCAAGCCTTACCACATATATAAACTTAATACCTTGGAGAATTATATTTAACTAAATACATTTGGACTTTGGGAATATTACATAATTAGGCAACTGAGAAATGAACAGTGCAAAACCAAATTACATTAAAAGTAAGTATTTTGCTTTTTTTCCATATTTCAAATAAAGGATACTGAAGAGGACAAAAAATATTAGAATCATAGCTATAAAAACCACTAAATCAAATTCTTTTAGATGGTAAAAAATTCTTGAAGCACTGAAGTATCTTCAAGAAGATGTTATCCAGAAACCTAAACAGGTTTCATAAATCAGTTTCATTAAAACATCATCCTCTTGTTTTATTTTTTTCAAGTAATACCTGAAAGGAACATAGCTCCACATTATAAGACTAAAAATTTAATAAAACTTCTCCCATAATGTTAGTTTACTAAGTGATTTGCTGTATGCAAAAAGTGCTGCCTCTGATCCTGCAACAGACTATCTCTCAAGTGTGCTTTTCATACATGGCAATAATGTTCCGGCTGTTGTTCTTGGAGAAAGCTGTGCTTACAGCACTCACTATTCCATTTAGACAATAGCATTGACAGAAAAAACAAATCCAAACAGCTCTTAACAGCCTCTCTCATCAGTGTTGCTTTCCTAAACCAAATCCACCTGAACTTATGACTATTTGAATTTCAACAGTAAAGAAATACAGTTCCCCAGAATTTTCACATCAGTGATATAGACTGTTATAACTGCCAATATCTGGAAGTTAGGGATAACAAACTGAAGTGAGAACTAGTGTTCGAATTGAAATAAAATTACGTCTTTTATCCACTCTCTATATTGCATGTAAGGAACAAAACAGGAAGGGGATACTATATATATACTAGATATAAACAAAGTTAATTTCTATCTAAACACATAACATAGATTAAAATTTAGTTTAAGACATCCAAGTTTCAAGCATAACACTCTAACACAAAATGTTACACCATCTAACACTGTTTAACCACATAACTTACAGGATACACAATCATAGCAAAATTACATAAAGCACGTAGCTATAACCATGTATATCAATATGCCAAGTAATACAGCACTAACATGTGTCACTATGCATCATAATCAAACAGCTATGTCCTTTTTTTCCTGACCTGCTTTGTTGCCCTTGTAGAATAACGGAGGGGGAAAATCAACCTCTAATACCATGTCAAGACCAAAAAGGTTAAATGACTTGTCAGTGAAAATGAAGCTGCTAGGATTGGTCACCTTCTTATTTAAGCATTTCAAAGTTGTGAAATAAAAAAGAAAGTGTCCTCTTTTTATGAAGATTATGTTCATATATTTATACTATAATATACTAAAATACCAGGTTCTTTTGTATGTGAAATAATAACAAAACCAGACTAATGCACCACAGAAGATTGTGATCACACAGAAATCACAGAGCACAGAAAAGTGAAGTAAAAAATACCTTTTCCACCTTTCCACCATTGATGTCACTGGGCAGGAATTTCTTGCCAATCGTTCTTAAATCTGTCTGAAATTAATATAGAAGACAAGAGAATATTAACCTAAAATATCCTGTTTCAAAAAAAACCCACTGCAAAATAAGAAAAAGAAGGGTACTTTTTCCATAATGACAACTATTTATTACAAAAATCCATTTCTTTAACCCTTTAAGATGAAAAAAGATTCAACAACTCAGAGTTCACAAAAGAAATCATTTTGCTTTTTAAATTTTATTGTTTCAAGTATAATTTCAATGTTGATTAAAATGCTTCAAACAGATGAAACAAAATGACTAAATATAACTATGACTAAACATAACTATGAGGTTTAATAGAGGTAAACGTCTTTCTTTGCTCTCCATCTGGCACTCAAAGTATTTTTAGTTTGTGACTTCTTCCATGTACAAATCCTTCATAAAAGGTTGGGATGATTTTTGCAATTATACCTGGAGTAAGAGCTCATGTTGTATTTTCATAAGATGCTTTTTAACTTAAATGTCCTATTATTTCTTTTGGAAGTGAGATACATAGCTACACGACATCAATCTGCAACTGTGCAATGTGGTCACTGACAACATTAAACAAAGGAATTCATATGATCAAAAGAAAAAATCCCTTCTCTTTCCTCCCCTAACACTGTTTGGACAAGCACATCCTTCAGGGTGATGTGAGCTAAAAGGTGCAGCATGTGAAAATAGGAAACAGAATAAAAATTAATGAAACTTCACAAATTACCTTTTTAGTGCATTGACACGTGCTAAGAAAAAAATACAAGGCACAGCAACGCATCCTACAACACCTGTGTTTTTTAAACTCCAGTGCTTGAAATAAGCTTGTTGTTCTAAATAGAACATGTTGACTCAGATTGCAGTAGTGAAGCTGAAGAGCCTCCTTATTTATTATGATCAAAAACAACACTTCTAAAAGAAGATGGGCTAAATGTAATTACTGAAAGAACTTGGACACTAACTTGCCATTAATACATGTCAATGCACTACTGCTCTGGTATCCTGATCTAGAACTGAGCAGGGTTGTACTTCAGTATCTGAAACACTGTAAAAAATTGGTTTATTCTGGTTTTCACTGAGAAACAGCTTACAAATAAAAAAATTATTATAGGAACGCTTTTCTAGTGTATTTACTCAGTATTTACAGAGTGGACAAATGAGCAATGCACTTTCTGTTGCACAAGACAGATAGTCTTAAGGAAGTACATTCAGTTTTCAATCTGAGCCCACCTGAGGAAAGTGATCTGTCAGTTATGGATCTCTAAATAGCACACAAGGTCCTACAAACTGTTCCCACGTGTTCTATATCCATATCATAGAATGGTTTGGGTTGAAAGGAACCTTAAAGATCAGCTAGGTTCTAAGTCCCTTGCTGTGGGCAGGGACACCTGCCACTAAACCAGACTGCTAAGAGCCCCATCCAACCCAGCCTCAAATACTTCCAGGGATTGGGCATCCACAACTTCTCTGGGAAACCTGTTCCAGTGCCTCACCACCCTCAGAGTAAAGAATTTTTTCCTAACATCTAATCTGAACTTACTCTCAGCTTGAAGACATTCCCCCTTGTCCTGTCACTACTTGTCCTTGCAAAAAGTCTCTCTCCATCTTTCTTTCTAAGTTCCCTTCAGGTACTGGAAGGCCACAATGAGGTGACTCCAAAGCCTTCTCTTTTGCAGGTTGAACATTGTCAGTTCTCTCAGGTTTCTTTCATAGGAGAGGTACTCCATGCCTCTGATTAGCTTAGTGGCCCTCCTCTGGACTCACACAGAGTGGTCAGTGTCCTTCCTGTGCTGGGGATCCCAAAGCTGGATGCAGTACCTAAGTGCAGTCCTAAGTCCTTCTCAGCAGAGCTGCTCTTGATCTGTTCATCCCCCAGCCTGTATTGACGCTGGGGGTTGCCCTGACCCCAGTGCAGCCCCTTGCACTTGGTCTTGTTAAACCTCATGTGATTCCTGTAGGCCCACTTCTGGACCTTGTCCACGTCTCTCTGGATGGCATCCCATCCTTCAGGTATGTCAACCTCACCGCTCTTCTTGGTGTCATCTGCAAATCTGCTGAGGGTGCACTCAGTCCTTTTGTCTATGTCATTAATGAAGATATTAAATAACACTGGTTCCAACATGGACCCCTAAGGGACACCACTTGTCACTGATGTCCATCTGAGTCACTGACCACTACCCTCTCATGTGACTGTCCAGTCAAAGTCTTATACATTAAACAGTCCACTCATCAAATCCATATCTCTCCAATTTGCAGAGAAGGATGTTCTGAGGGACTGTGTCAAAGGCTTTACAGAAGTCAAGATAGATGACTTCAGTATCCCTTCCCTTGTTCATTGATGCAGTCACTCCATCACAGAACGACACTGGGATGGTCAGACAGGACTTGCCCTTGGTCAAGTCTCCAGAAATGTGCTTTGCAATCAGAGCAGCAGGAAGGGGACACAACTTTTAAAAACTCCCTCTAAGATCTTATAAAATAAAAACATTTGAAGAACTGAAGGTACATTTATGTTGATTTCAAACTTACTTAAGCAATTCATACACACATACACACAAAAAAAGGCAAAAAAGTTCATATGACTTCTGGATTTCTTTGGTCTGAAACATGCCTCTAGCAGTCAAGGAAGGATTTGTGAATTTGTAAGAAGTCAAATATAAATTCACTGTTATCCTGCCATTAAAGACGCACTGCTATTCCCCACTTACCCAACAGACAAGTTAATCATCTGGGCATAAAAACCACTAACTTAATGACAAAAACAGTGATAAAGAATTAAATCAGCCTTTGGAGTACTTTTGTCACATTTTTATTATCTATCAAACAAGCCAGAAATAACAACAGAGTCAAAAATGATCATGTCAGTACTTGTTCCAGCATATCACTCTCTACAACTACCTGAAAGGAGGTTGTAGCCAGGTGGGGATTGGTCTCTTTTCCCAGTCAGCTATCAGTAAGACAAGAGGGTATGGTCTTAAGCTCTGTCAGGGGAGGTTTAGGTTGGATATTATGAAGAAATTCTTTACAGAGAGGGTAATCAGGCATTGGAATGGGCTTAAACCAACTGGTGATTGAATCTTGAGGATGGACAAAATAATCCCTTCTCACACAATTTCATTAAGAAAGAACACTTCTCTCTTAAACATTCTGCTACATTGATTTTTCCCCTTGAAACTACATATAGTTATTACAAAGCACAAAGTTTACACTAGACCATATATATAGTGCATTTAAGCTTTAAAACATCTGAGTATGAATTTGATAAAATACATAAAAACAAATAACAAATACAATTTAACAAATAATATATAATAACAATAACAAATACAAATTATACAAGGCAGCAGACTTACTAATGTTTACCAACATTGTATATACTAGAATTCTGAACAATGGGAATTCACATGCACACATTTCTCACATATTTATAAGTATTATGGTTTATTGCTTCGAAGATGTTTTATCTATCTTGTATATTCCTGTGTTAATTTGGTGGCAGGAATAATGACTACTAATCCATATTCCTACAGTAAAGCAAAAAACCTGTTTGTAGTTAAATAAATACGTATTCAACAGGATGTATAGTTTGAATGTACTTTAAGGACTGTCTTGCCCGGAAGTTAAATTAAGTAAGGATGTTTTATTCATCCCTACAAACATATTTTGTACTACAAGTTCATACTCATGTCAGTACACAGCACTTCAAATCATATTATAGCTTGTACTTTGACTTTAGTTTTATATTTTATAAAACAAAAAAATATTTTCCTACTGCAAAATCTGTTAATATTTCTCCTACAGGTTTCAGAGTTTGGAAATAAAACTCACAATTCATACAAGCAAGGAGAAAGACAGGTACTCTGTCCTTCACATAAATCACACAGAAAATGATACACTTAATTAGACACACAAACCTATACTTCAGCCATTAGTTACATAATTTTTAGCATGATTTGTCAGAAAAAAACCTTTCACTATCATAACTTACATTAAGGGCAACTAGGATTATATCATTTGTATTAACTTTTTCAGATGAACTTAAGCAAGCTTCAATTCCTTCATCTGAAAGATACCTGTGGAAGAAAAAAAAAAAAGAATATCACAAGATGTATCAATTAGACAAACATTTTTTCTATACATGAGATTGTCTTTAGTTCCTATCTTTTCTGCTAGTGAAGCATAGATGTAAAAATACTTGGAAAATGACTTAATGTAATCAGTTTCCTTACACTGAGATGACATTAAGAAAGATTTCCTTTTCCATAATTTCTAAACAAAAGAATTTTTTTTAAAAAACACAAGCAAGAAAAACAAGTTCTACTTACAAAGAAACAAAAGCCACCATGAACAGCATAACACTAAGCTCCTCATGCCCACCCTGCCAAATTATAGGAACCTGGATTCAAAATCAACCATTTGGCCTTTACTTGATCTAAGTGGCATACTTACACTCATGTATTTGCAAGGGAAAAAAAACCCAAACCAAACAAACAAAAAAAACAATTCCCATCCCACTCAAAACACAACCACAGTTATTTCTAAAGCCCAAGACTGTACAGTTAATCCCTCAAGGACTGGGATACATAACACCACTATGCCATGAAAATATATTTTTGCTTGCCTGGGTTACAAAGAAACTGATAAAAATGACAGTGCACTCCAGTGTATGAATAGTCAAATACGGTGAAAAAGATGAAATAAGAATAAAAATCTCCTTCACAACCACATTTGGGCAGGCTATTTGTGAGCCTGATGTCTTTCTGTAAAAATTCTGCAACTATAAATTTTTCATCTGAAAACTAAGTAATTTCTGAATTGATTACCTGAATCCATTTAAAAGGGCTAACCTATTCTAACCTCCAAAAAAAACTTTAAAAAAGGATAATTTTAACTCGAGTGGTCAGAAATTGTGACATTTGTTGTTCATTCAGCCTAATATATCCTATTTGCAGTCCCAGTTTTCATTTATTTATGCAGCTCTTCATTTTATTTAAATACATCACAGCAACCATTAAATAATTGATATTTGCTAGATACTCAGTCTGAAACAGAACTTCCTCAAGTAAGATTTAAATAACTACCTACCAAGAAATCACCATTCCCCAAATAGTAAAAGAACGATTTAAAAAACAAAGAGCAATATGCATTAGAAATACTAAAAATAAATATTCATGGGTGCTTCAAGAAATAATAATAATAATGGCCAGTCTTCGCAAGCGAAGATCCGGGGAAGGTCTTTACACCTTCCAGCCTGCGCATTGGATTTTTTAGGTGAGACACAGTGTGCGCGGAACTGAGCCCACCCTTTAATCCTAAGGTTCATCTGCCGGGGCCAAGCGAGCTTGGACGGTGGCAGCGAGGTCCTTAGGACGTAGGTGGGTTGCCTTTAAGGGCTAACGAGCCCCACCTGCCCAGGAGTGGCCCTGACCGGGAATCGAACCCGGGTCTCGGCAGTGACAGCGCTGTGCCCTTACCACTAGACCACCAGGGGCTCCTACAAGAAATATTTCTTTTTAAATAAAATAACATATAAACAATGCAAAACACTTGAACACTTTACAGATCTTTTTGATTCTAGCCCAGGTGACTTCAACATCACTAACTCAAGTCCTCCCCGTGTTCCCAGATGATCACAGTTGTACTCTAACCCAGACACTTGATGGGATATAACTGTTCAAGTTGGACACTGGCATCTAACAAATCCCAAGTCACCAGCTCACCATCACCAAAAAGAAAACAAACAAACAAAACAAAAACTCCAATGCACTGAATGGTAAAAAAATGTATTTATAAAAGCATAAGAAGAAACGCTCCTATTTTTTATATAAAAGGCAGACACCTGAGAGGAATAAAGTGGTGATACTTGGTAGCTTGCATGGGAATAAACGATTTCCCAGTTGAAAAACTCTGAGTTCAAGTACTATGATCTACGAAGATTTATGTAACTACTGTGAATTAACAGATCTCATTAGCTGGAGTCAGAAGGTAAAGTAGAACAGCATTCCCACTCTGTGCCAGAGGAAATAGATACATCCAACAGACACTATCCTGCTCTCAAGACTTCAACTGTGGCTTAATTACACCAAGAGACTTCCTAGAAAGAACAATATCATAAACTCTAGAAGTTTACCTTCTGTCATCTTCAGCATAAAACTGAACATAAGTTTAATAGCACGGGTTAGGGGGAGTACAAAATCCATGAGCTGAGTTTTATACTGTTGTGGAAGGATTCCTCCTCTTCTGCTCCAAATGTAAATGAAGTCATCCTTCATTCTACTGAAGTTAGGAGGACTGCACTTCTCTTACAGAGTTACTTAGCCTAGTAGTACGACATAAGCATTATCATTTTCCAGCAAATGAAAATGTTTTTAAAGAATGAATAAACAAGAATCTGACCTAGAATTAAACTTTCTCTATACAGGACAAGATAAACTCTGCTATTACAAAATTCATTGCTCAGTCATATTTTACTTTCTCACCTCAAAATGAAGACTGACTCACAGCTGTCAAAATCCCACTCTGCTTTAGTCAAAATTTTTAGTTTATAACTTCTTATATATAAATTTTTATATTAATTTTATGTTTAGTTTGTCTCATTAATTTGGAAAATTTCTGACACAAGGATAAAGAGAAACTCACTGGAAAAGACCACTAATTTTTGACTTGTGCTAACTTAAGCAATAGCACTTAGCAAAAACATTGCCTACCTGACTGAAATCTCTGCCAACATCACTGAGGCACCAAATATGAAATATCATTGGGGACATCTGTTAGTTTGATTTAAGCAAACACCAAATCTTTTAAGCAAAAACCTGATTTACTTAGTTATTAAAACAGTTTTCAAAAAAGCAAAGTCTGTGAACATTAATGCAGGGGGGATATTTTATAGTTTGAGGTTGGTTGGTTTGGTTTTTAAAGATGCTCATCATATGAAAGCATAAATTACTTAAATGTAAAAGGTCAGCATCAAAATTACTTTCAAGAAAACAGATCAAATCAACAACTCTGACAGCAAAGTTTTGCTGAAGAACTTCAACAGAATAAAAGTAGAGCTTTCCGGTAAGTGTCAGGTGTTGTTTCTCTGCAATGGGACACAAACCCCCAAATTTCAAAAGAAACAGTCAGAAACTAGCCAGGGAACAAACTGCAAACAAAAAACATTGTACACCAGAATTAGTCAAAGCACAGATTTCTCCTTTTTTAACAGAAGATTGGAACCAGTGTATGTCAAGTTACTCCTTTCCACTTTGCCCTAATAACATTCTTAAACAGACTACTTCTTACAGCAACAAGTACTCCAAATACATGCTTAGACTCTTTACAACCTTACAGAATACTCTTAAATATCATAGGGCCACTCGATTTTTTTGTTCTTAGTACTAGATCAAGATAAAAAAAAAATCTGATCCTAAAGAAAACCAAAGACAATAAAAACCTGCTCTGGAGTCAAAACAGATTTGCAGTTCTGTGTCTCTACTATACTCATTCAAGTGCCTCACATCTTCTGCATTACCTGTTCTGCCCATTTTGCAAAATAGCCCTGACCTGTCACAACCCTAGATAACAAAAGGTGAACTACAGTGTGATCCTATTACATTAATCCAGCACATTTCCTATTGCCAAGGGGTAGGAAGCATCTTTAAACCAGATCACACTGCTGGAAGCGCTCACGATTCCCAGGGTGTACCTGGCAGTGCCATATAAACAGTGTCTTTGTCAGTGCTTGCTCTCCACACCTCCATCCCAAGCTGTCCCCACCTTTTCTTTATAAAGCAAGGGGACACTGGGGATAACCTGGCACAGAAATGCTGCTGCCACAATCAACAAACTTCCCTTCGTCCTTCCATAAACAAACATTTCAGAATTATGCACTTGAGCTTAAAGTGAAGGAGCAAATAAATAAAATATAAAATAAATGGGTGAGAAGCATGGAGCGAGCAGCAGCCAAGCTCAACAAAGCTCTTTGAGAAGTCCAAGGCAAGCCAGTGGTGACCACTGACATCTTACACTGATAGCAATGACACAAATTATTTCCTTAATATGCAATGCAGATAATACTATATACTAAAGAGATGTTTATGTTTTTGACGAAATAAACAGATTTCTTTAAAAAAAGTTTAAAACCACCACCAAAAAAACCCACAACCAAACCCAGACCAAAACAAAAAACACCAAACCACAAAAAAGCCCCACCACACACACACACCCCACCACCACACTGAACTTTCCACTATGAGGACTGGTAGCTAGATTAACATACACTGCAAGAACCTTTAGTTTTCAGGAAATAAAGTACTCCCTAGACTTCTTTCATGCACGTTTTAAAACAATCTTAAAAGTTACATATTGAATTCATTAAGAGAATTGCAATGATTTCAAGGGAATTTTAGTAAGCAGTGCTGCGTGAGTCACACAGGGATTCTGTAGCCTTGGAACATTAATACAAATTAAAAGAAAAAAGAAATAAAATCACAGTTTACAACCAAACGGGCATAAAGCTGCCACGAGTGGTTGAGATGGTTATTTGTGGAGTATTCTCAAGAGAAAGAAAATCAGAAGAGAGAGGAAAATAAATGTTTCTACTGCAATTCCTTCGCATTATGCTTGCAGAAACCTGAGGGATATCTCAGCTAGTCCTCCCCCTCACTCCAGTTCCACTCATCTGAGACATGTAGCAGCACAATCCTCTTAGCAACAGCTTTTGTCAGAAAAGCATCTCCTAGAAAGTACCTGCATTCTTACCTTCAAAAGAAACATTAAAACAAAGCCATTAGTAATGAATCAGCACTTTCTATGTGAACCATTCACATATAAATCCAAATCTACAACTTTTCTGTCAAAATATTCTCATTAAACTTTTACAAAAAACAGATTTCAGTAATTCTTCCTTTGCAATACACAGAAAAAAATACTACATGAGTGACAGGCAGAGTTGTTTTCTCACTGTTCCTTCATATCAAGTATGATATCAGTTTAATAACCCACTTTTGTACATTATAGGTGTGTACATTCTCCTTTTTGGTATTTCCCATGGCTAAGGAATATAACTACTACCAATCTCACCTGTGCCTCT